TTTTTCTAATTCTCAAGTTCTTAGTTTTGTTCAAATGGTTCACTTCAGACGCTTCAGTGACTGTTGTGGTGATGACACAGTCGTTGTCAACAGACGAGGCTCTGGTTCTGCTGGATATGGTTGGCGACCGCATCGGCACTCCAGACAATACAGTGAAAGACGAGTAATTAAACGACGAGTTCTTCTTAGGGTTGTCTTCCAAACAGGCTTTGATAAGTCCGGCCGCGTTCTCAGAACTCTTGCGTTTGTTTGGACGCGACTGCAAGTCTTGGTTTGGCTTCATTTGATGGTCTAATGAATGATCGTTTTGATAGTCATTTGATTTATAGTCATTTGAGGTGTCGTTATCTCCTAAAACATCCGAATTGTCGGTTTCAGTGGTATTCGACAGATTGAGTACAGACTCGTCGACCTCTTCGTCTTCAAGGCCTTCATTTGAATTCTTCATAATATAGTTGTGATCGGAAGCGACGGAATGCGTTAACGTATTGCCGTCACTAACGTCTTCATCACTCGGTATTTCATTATCGGAAATCATTGAAGAATTAATAAGTCGAGGAACGCCTTCAATATCATTGTCTTCAATGATTCTCATTTCTGTGCCGTCCATACACTGAACAGTAAGATCTACGGGTTCTGCTGATAAGCAATTCTCTCCTGAATTACTGTCTTGGTTTTGAACATCACTTTCATTGCTTGAGTTGTCATTATTGATGGCATTATTATTAGCATTAGTGATGGCATTACTCGTGGCATTTGTGATGCAATTATTGTTCATTTGATTTGATTTGAGAAAATGAGACAAATCTTTAGGTTTTTGTTCGCTATTGTTGTTTGCATTCAACGACTCGATTGGACTGTTATTTCGCGTCACAGGTATTAGAATTGAAGAATTATTAACGGATGGACTCTTTGCGGGAACCAATTTAATAGAAGGCGAAGGATTGGTCACAACCACAGACTTGACTACAACGAGTTGACCGATCGAATTGCCGGCCGACGACACGGGAACACCCGCTTGAGTGACGCCACCAGTTGTGGCCATTTTGCTAACTAAGAGTCGGACCGGAGGTGACGTCGTGTTGATTGGTAGAGGAGAACCAGTCGATGACAAGTGATTGGGAGATAATGGAGAGCCCGGAGAAGCGGTCGAATTGATGAGTTCGACTAACTTATTGGCCGCAGACCTAACTGTTATGCCTCCGCTTCCCGAAGGAATTGTAAGCAATTTGAAGGGAACGCCTTTCGAAGCATTTGTTAACGAATTACTCGTAAAATGACTCGTTTTTCCCGCATTTATTGACGAACTGTTGGGAGAATTGAGGTTTGGTTTGAATGTAATGAGTGTAACACGACTTCCACTCTCGAGTGATCCGGACTTTAAATGCGAAAACATTGAAGTGGATGTTGTAGTCGTCAAAGAAGGCACAGCAGTTGAGATAACGATCTGAAGCGGCTGTTTAGTCGTCTCTTCGTTAGCGATAGCTTTAGTTTCACTGCTTTCTAAGTTTGCGTTAACCGAAACCTTATTATCATTACCACCACTACTATTACTACCAATACTACTACAAGCGGTTGTCACACAATTTGTTATCGTTTTCACTTCTGAGGCCTTTTCAAGTGATGTCTTGTTTTCAGAGTCTAACGCTTTCGGTAATAAAATGGTTTCGTTATTACAATCAACCGAAGGATTGTTTATTGGAGTTTTGTCTGAAGAAGTGTTTTCTATAGTTTGAGTGGCAGTGATTTGAGAAACCAATTGATTAGAAACAGTTGTGTTAATTATAGGCAATTCATGAGTCGAGGGAACTATAGAGCTCTCGCTCTTATCTGGCAGTTGTCGATCAGATAAGACCTCAGTTTTAATGGTTTGCTTTGATTGACACTCACTTTGTATTCTCATTTCGCTTACATTTTCTTCACTGTTGACTACATTATTAATTTGAATCTCATTTAAATCACTGGAAGTATTGCTGGCATTAATAGCGTTACAACTGATTTGATTTCCATTATCAGCGCTTAATTTGTCAGAAGAATTCAACAAATGGGTCGGACTTTCATGAGCCTCACTATTGATATCACCATTTAATATGACATCACTTTTGGTTTCTGTTTTGTTCGTTACATGAATTGATTTTTCTGATTCACATTTTATATGATTTATTGACGAATTGTCCACATTTTGGCCCATATTTGAAGTGATTTGAGTGACAATAGGAAGCGATTCTTTAATTTCTATCCTCTCATCCAATTCTTCCTCTAATAGTGTCGAGTCTTCTGAGAGATGATTATGAGAAGAGTTGACATCTTTTGAGTGCAGAGCACTTGTATTTCTAACAGAATTAAGTTCTCGTGTATTCACTAAAGCGGGTATTGAAGAGGGAATGCAATTAATTCGTGTAATTCTCGAGATTTTATTTGCAATCGTTTGTGTGTTGGCTGTCAACGGCTCAACTGTCACCACAGCTGCGACCGAAGAGTTTCGACATTTTGTTTTCGGTTTTTCAGTACATTTCTCTTCCTCTTTAACAATAACTTCTTTGTGACCATCGATTGGAGTCAAAGAGACCATCGTTTGGGAATGGATTGGCTCTGAGTTAACAGTTTCGTTGTTGTTATGACACTTCTGAACGTTTGACTCAAGCAATTGATTGGTCGGCGTTAATGGACTTATTGTGGAATTGGAATCTAATTTATCTCCAATGGAATCACTGTCTTCGGATGAATTGGTACTTAAACTGTTTACCATTGAAGGCAAATCATTAGTTGTTTTGCTAACAATTGTCTCATCATTTAAGAGATCAGTTTTTGTTAACGTATCAGTTGTCACACGTATTGCACTATTTTGTGGACAATTATCATCTGAATTGAGAAGAGGCACACATTTTGTGGATATGTTTGTCGAGTCATTCATGTTATCATTATTACTGTTACGATCATTAGATTGGTTTTGAGCACAATTAGAGCTGACATCAGATGATGGCGAGAACAGTGTGTCTGTCGTATCATTCAAAGGCGTTTTCGACACATTTAGAGTGAAAGACAAGTCATTGACAGTTTGGTTAATATCCAGTAATGACTCGACACTGGGAGATGAGGCACAGAGAGATGAAGTGGTTGTGACAATACCACCGCCTGAGAGGAAGCGCTGTTCTCTTTGCAATTTTTTTCTTTGGTTTTTATTCAAATTTGTACATTCGGTGCCTAAACCTGACTCTACAGACACCGCTCTCGTCGTGCGAACAGCTCTTGCCTTCTTAGACACTGTGGTCTTCGTCTCGATATCACTCGTACTCTCCCTTCTGTTGGACACAACGACAGCAGAGTTTGGGCCACGGATTGAGATGTGCAGCGGAGGAACACGAGGTTCAGTCATAACTGTGGGGTTGGCATCAGATAACTGAGTGGTCGAACACCCGGTCAACAATGGGTTCAATGAATCGCTTGACTTTTGTATTGTGAAATGATTTCTCGGATGAATTGCTGTATTGAGTGAAGAAGTTGTCACAAAAGATTCCTTTTTGAGACAATCAGTCTTGGGTTCAATTTTTACTTTCAGTTTCGAGTTATCAACTGCTGGATCACTAGAAGACGTGCCATCATTTGTAGGCACACCTGCTTTTGCACTAATTGAGTGGTTATCGCCATTCCCAACATCTGTAGACGATTGTGACGACACGTCTGTTCCTGATTTTCCTAATCCAGAATCAGTATCAGACGAATGGTTGTTATCTTTGCCATTACTTCCCGCATCGGATAAACTCCTCTCAGAATTGCCTCCGATATCAGATCCAGTGTCTAATTCTGGAAATACGGCCGCCGGTGATGTCCGGTCCTCCTCTTCCTCATCACTAAGCATTGGTTCCAAAAGACCGGTAAATGGATTAATCAAATGCTTTGTTTTCCCAGTCATTCTTGTCGTCGGTGGCGATGGAAACACTGGTTTTGAATCGTTATTCTTGTCTGTATTGGGAATTGGATTGGGATTTGCTTTAGGACTAGATTTGTCGTCATTTTGCAGATTCGAGTGTGCATTCAATGATGGATTGGGTTTACTGTCGGGCGCCTGACTTGTCGTTACAAATATTGGTTTCCGGAGATGAGTGGTCACTATCGGAGGCGAACCAACTTTTGCGGCCGACAGCTGAGAACGGATAGGGAGGTGACCCGCCCTCACCACTTGTGGCTGTCCCTGTGCTTCGGGATGTATTGATGGGTATCTGAAATGCAAATTCATATTAATAATGTGTCAAAACAAGAGACAAACAAAACATGTCATACCTGGACATTGAGTTCATAGGAATGGTTAATAAGTGTGGAGATATATTAAATGAAGACTGGGTTTGCATTTGTGGATCCATTGATGACTGTGGTGTCAATGGAGTGGACGGCAAGAATTTGAGTGCTGGGGAACTGTTAGAAGTGGTCGTAACAGATGTCTGCAAAGTGGTTGGTGTCAACGTCTGGGTCACAACATTTGTATTCACAAAATAAGACGATTGAGTCGTTTCTGTTTCGACCTTATCTTTCAATTTCCGGCTTTTTCTCGGTTTTCGCTTTTGTGTCAACAAATCAGTTGATGTATTCATTTGATTATGAGCTGAGGTCTGAGGTGTGGGTCCTTTCATATGTCCAGAAGTGGCGTCACTTTGCAAAAGGTTCACCAGAAGAGGACTCGTAAGCGCGACATTAGCCGAAGCACTGTTGACAACAGCACAGGTCATGCCTAACGTCGGCGGTGTTTGTGGCGGTGTCTGAGACTTCAGTGTGGGTGCGGATTGGGTCGGTTGCGAGGGTAGGGCTCGACTAACTCTTACACCTTTTGCATCTCTAGAAGAGTTGAGTTGTGAGTTAGTGGTGACCGAAGCGAACGTTGAGCTAACATTGGGAACGGGAGGTGTGGTATGGATGCTGTTGTGGAGTGATTGGGTAGTTGTGGTGTGACTGGTGTTCAATGGCAAGCGAACAGAAGGCGCGGTCGTAATCACTTGGTTTAGCCGTTGGACAGGTGTGTAATGAGAGGGATTGAGTCCCTGTTTGGTATGCATTGCTTGGTATGAGTGCTGCATACTTGCAAACGGGAACAGACCATAGTTTGATGAGTTCGCTATGGAGGTGACCGCAGACAGACTGTCGGCAGTACAGGTGCTGGCAGTCGATGACACACATGTTGACAGTTGTGATGTCACTGTAGAGCTGGTGCTCAAGTAAGGTATGGGCTCTGAGTTGATCGGCGCCACAACATTAGGCGACCGAAACGCAGGCAATTCAACACTGTTTGGGAGGAGTGCTGTGGTGTTGACCACATCTATGTGTTGTTGACTTAAATATTGTGCTATATTTTTACGCGTTATCTCAACACTAGATCCGCTCGAAGGCGAACCGTTCAAGTCATTGTTCGAGACCAGAGATGAGACACTACTACTATTGGACGTTATATTGTTTACATTATTGTAATTCACCGCTAATTCACTGATTATATTAATTGCTGAAGAGTTCACTGATGATGAAGAGATAACACTCGCACTGTTCACAACTGATTCACTCGATTTGTTTATCAGTAACTGTTGGCGATTATCATCGAAACTGTTGGCCAGAGTAAGCGTTATAACCTATAGAGCGATAAAAACGTTAATTATCATCAAATTATGACCAATTGGTGGGCAAAGAGTGGTGCGGATGGCATACCTGATCGCCTTCTATTTGGACCGACAGTATTCCCAACTCTCTTAAGGTGTTGTCTCCGCGTTGGGCCAACTGTCGGAGCCGTTGGGCGGCATTTCGAGGTATATTAAAAGTGACTCTAACGCTATTCCAGGGCTCAACTTTGGTCACTTGGAAGGACTTCTTGTTCTCTGCAAAACACCAATCAATCAAAATAAACACAATTATCACTCAAAACCATGGCTTACCGTTAGAGACGAGCCGTTTTAGTTTGCATATGATTTGTTTGAGTCGTGATGGGAAGGCCGGGTCCGTGAGATCGCCTTCACATGTCAGCACTGTTTTGGCTAATTCTGGATCAGATGGTAAGACATCCATGCCTTCCGTCACACAATATAAACAATACATTAGATATGCATTTAATCATAAAAAGCAGTTAAATATAAATATCAGGGATTATAGTAAAGGATTTCACTCAAAATACACACACTTTTAATCACTTAAATGTAATTATCGTTTAAATTAATTTTCTTATAATTTTAGCATAAATTCTGTAAATATTGTAAACTCGTGTCAAATGACAGCAAATCTATTGATTTGAATGCATTTCAAGTAAATTGCATTTATTTGTAGCAATTGTTTGCAAACCTATCACTAAATTGAAACCAATTGCAAATTCAATCGTTAATTAAAACATACAATCAGTTAAATAACACTATTATTAAAATACATTTTACGCTAAATTAAAACTGTCTCTAAAAACAAAAACGACTCAAAAATAGCACTCAATATAAAGAGGAAGCGAACGGAGCGGACAATCGGTGGTAAAAGTGAGTCAACGGTAATTGTCTAACGACGGGATCAATTGAGTGATGGGCGGCGAAGAGCCGTAACAGAAATGAATAAATGACATGAAAAACAATAATAAATGCATTAATGAATACAGCGTTCTGTGGAGTGAATGGTGTGAGTGGTGTGTGTGGTGTGGGGTTGGGATGAGTGGGCGGTGGATGTGTTGGATGTGGTTGTGGTGATGTGTGTACCTTCACATGATATATCCTTAGGCATGATATATACGATTGACTGCCAGTGACTGAAGCCATAGATTAACAAAAACATCGACAGCCATTTGCAATACAAGTCATGCGCCCTAACACAACACTACTCAACTGCTCAACACACAGACCCCTCACCACTCGCACAACACTACTCACGCCTATACACCACTACTGTACTACTTGTGCCCTATTCTCCACACCCGTCAACCCGTGCCCACACACTCTGGCCATTGGCCGCACTCTTCTCGACCCCAACTCAATGCCATATGTCATGTGTTATACTCTATGTATGCTATACTGCAGCTCGTCTTAGACGGCTTTGGTCTCAACTTCGGAGCCGTAATTGTAATGCAATATAAATGTTGACAATAAGTTAGCGTAAGTTTTACAACACATCACCTGTTGGACCAATAGATGGCAATTGTGTTATGTTTAGTGTATTGTCACAACTTGTCATACAATACAATATCATATTATTATTATTATTATTACGGCTTATAAAGTAAACAATATTTTTGGCTCTTATTTCAAAACTTATATAATCAATGAAAACATTATTTTTTTATTAGTATATAATAAAATCAATTAGAAATTATTTCAGTTTTAAATGTGTTTAACGGGCGATGCGTTAGTACTGCCCCCAGAACTGGCTGTCCTGTCACGCGAGTGATGTCTGTCTCGATCCCGATCTTTATCCTTATGTTTATGTTTGTGTTTGTCTTTGTGTTCTTTATGTTTGTGTTTTTTCTTCTTCTTCTTCTTATCCTTATGTGGTTTAGAGGAATGTCCGCCGCTTTCATCCCTATCCTTATCCTTCTTTGACTTCTCTTTTGATGGATTGACAGTCGGTTCCACTTCGCTAGTGGTCGGAGGGATACTTGAAATGGTTGGTTGAGGTGTTATGTCTGATGAAACTGATGGCAAACTCTCAATATGTGGAGTCGGGGCCACATCCACGTCATCAACGGTACCAACGGTTGGCACTCTTTCGAGCGCATGCTCTTCGGGTTCTGCCATTTGTGGAGACAATTGTGGTTCGGAACTTCTCTGTGGACTCTTCTCATTCTTGTTGTGTTCATTCATTTCAGTTTCTTTCACCTAATTTAGTCAAATATATCTTTAATTAACGGATCAATTAAATAGCAATTAATTACAATTTGATCGAATCGTTCCTCCACTGGAAGTATATCCATGTCTTCTGTATCTTTGGATAGATCTTTAGTGTCTTCGACTTCCATATCTCTGTCAATCGACGAATCTTGTGGCTAATGATTAAACCAATAGATCAATACCACTAATGGGACCAACAATAAAGTGTTTACCTCTAACTCATCGGTGGTGATGAGTGCTGTACTCACTTTCTTCTCTTTAAGATTCAAAACCACTGAAAACTAAAATATTTCATAATTAATAACAATGTTATCCAAACATAAAGCTATTGATATTATACTTCAGGTTTTGGTAGACAAGAGGGTCGTCCCCTTCCGTATAGAGTATAGTAGAAGTCAACGACAGCGCAGCGAATCTTTGAATCATAAGATAACTGGGAGTTCATCAGAAGCCACAACCGGTCGACCAGATCTTCGGAATTTAAAATGTTTTGTTGATTTTTAACAAACGGAGGATTTTTGACAAATTGTTTCAAAATATATAATCGAATCGAAGGAATGGATTCGTTTTCGACCAAATCGAGCAGAAAATCCAAATCATCTTTTCTTACTTCAGCTTTGGTTATGTCTATTAATGCCTTTAGGGCTGCCTTTCGGACATCAATGAAGACACCACTGATGGCATATTCGCGGAAAAACATGGGATTACTCGGCAAATGACCCATTTTCTGCAGATGTCTGATAGCTTTCAGACAACTCACTGTTACTGTATGTCTATAACAGGGCAACAATTTGTCTAAATTTAAATAACGTGTTATCTCTTCTAATATGCATTTGGTGTCCATTGAGAGCGCTTCGCCCGCTATTGTCTGTCCCGTCGGGTTTATGACAGCCGTCACCACTGGAGTCACTGTTTCACTCAACGCGTCGATTAGTGCCGCTCTGTAGTAGTTGTCAGAGAACTTATTTTTACTGTTATCGTTATATTTGAATAAATCCAATAAGAATTTCAGCACTTCTTGCGGACAAATTCCGTGAATATTTCTGAGTCCGGCCATTGAAAAGGGCATCTCTTTCTGGAGAAAGTAGTGCTGAAACTTTGAAAAGTTGTTCAGTTTTATGATATGAGGGCACGAATGAGATCCGAATATTTTGCGAAAGATGCTCAACATAGCGGGCGGACCCGTCCAAGTGTTGGCCATATGATTGGCCACTCGTCGGAGACAGAGAGTGGCGGCGCACCGGACTCTATAAAAACACTGTTCGTTGTTTATAGTGTCTGTGAGTGCGTTACGCGTCTGAGGAGTACTAAATCTATCGATGAAATGGATGACATCCATCTGCGCCATCACATCCCTCTCAAAGCGCAACTGGTATTGCCATTGATGGTCCGGCTGTTCCAGCACTACCTCACGAAGTAATTGCATTTCCGGATCTATTCTTATCCAAAGTACCGGCGAGTCTTGACTTTAGTTAAATAATACATTAAAACACAATCAAAATATTTCATAAATGAATACGAACTCCATTGAAGTCAAGTCCATATCCACTTCCTCTCCAGTACACAACGGGATCTTCTTTTTCTTATTGCGACGACTCTTTGAATGACACGTTAAGTCATGTTTAGTAATATTGTCCTCAATCTGAACGGGATGTTTGAAAGTTCCGTCCAATTCTTGTACCGTCACTATCAATGGTCCCTAAAATGTCAATCAATTAATACAAAATCTGGTCACAAGAATAGTTAGTGAATAAAATGCTGACCACATATCTCTTGATGCCAGTGGACTGAATGTCCATTTGTTTGATCTCGAGTTCAACGGTATTTCTCTTGCGATTGAAGACAAAGGATGAGTGGAACTTCGCGTGCCCTCCATCGTAGACCCATTGCTTTAAGAAGGTGTCGATGTTCTTACCGGTGACCGTAGAGATGGCCCAAATGAAGCTATTGGTCGATATCATAAAATTAAACCAAACACTGGCCGAGAACTTCTGCGGCGCGGCATTAATAGCGAGTGAAAGCAATTTGTTGAACACTTGCAAAAGTAACTCTCGGCCCAAATAGTTCTCAAGCATACGGATCACTAAATAACTCTTCTTGTGGTGAGCGCTGTCATAGAGCGGAGATATTGTGTGCAAATGTTTGATTGGAAAGTAGAAGGCATTCGTCTCACTGGAACTCTGATGGGACGGGTCTAACACCACTCCTCTGTACTTTTGCTCGTAATGTATGACATCTTGTAATTGTTGATACAAATCAAACCGGTATTCATTGTTTCCAAACGCCTTCTTATAGTATTGTAAGGCAAGGAATGCAGAGATGCCGCGCGGGAGCCACGCGTCAGACCACGACTGCATTGTTATGAAACAGCCGAAGAATTGTTGTGCGACCGCATGGGATAGGACTCGACGGGAATGGTATGTTTGGTCAATGATATGTCTTGAATGCAAGAGATTAGTCGATAGAACAGTCATTGTTGCGTAAGATTGCGATTCCTCATAGGATTCGTCGACAAACACTTGTTTATAACAAGAATATGGATAACGACTGGAAAGCAGTTCTTCGTAGAACTCGAAGGCTTCGTGAAGGAAAGCACAGGTTTCTCGAAGTAATGGCAGTAAATGTGGTAAACAGAAGTGCGTCACCTCATGCATGAACGGGTCCACCATTATCTCAAACGGACCCACAGCTAAGGCTATGTTCGGCGCACACGTGGGGGTCGACAGACAGTAATGGTATGTCTTCTTCTTGTTATCGGGAGTGTAAACGCTTTCAATGAGATCACCGCACGAGACGGCAATCATATTGAGATCGACGGTAAAGTCCATTCTCCACGTGCAGACCTCGCTGTATGAGTCCACACATGGAAACCATAAGCGGTTCAGGTTTTCATACCTATATGTGAACATATGGGCCCCCCTTTCCGATAGCGAGCCATCACTTTGAGGCACAACGAACTGAACGCCTCCTTTGGGTCTCTCACACGCGAACTCGATGTGAAGGCGAATCACTTTGCGCTCCTTAACGGCGCTCACAATCTCAGGTATGTCTTCAGGCATTTCCACAATAAGCTCTCCATTGCCGCGATCGGGATCTACACTCTGGACAACCGCCAAATGCGATACCGAATAGTTGTCTAAATTTCGTTTGCTTTCCGATTGCGAGATATCGAGAGTGGGATCAGAGTATGTGAAGTGACAGTCTTTGATGAGATTTTCTGCGGTGTAGAGAATGCAAACCCGATATATCTTCAGTTGTTTGGCATTCAGTTTAATCTTCTTTAAGTCATCTCTTTGTGAAATGACATGCAATTCAACGAAACCCTGCATTGAGTGACAATTTTACGAGAGATGGGATCAGTATTTGGGAGACAATCAATGGCTTCACAGATAGTACTCACGAGATATGACTCCTTTTGGAAATTGATTTGTGATATACAGAGATTTTGATGACATCTGAGAAGAAGTCACACAATTGGATCAAATGTGTCAAAACAAAAGTTACATTTCAAAAAGTGCTTACAATTTGAAGTGTCGTTTACTTTCGCTTTTGTTTTCCCTTTTAGTCATCGTTTCTGTCGATCAAAACAGTCAACACATGTGTTGACAATGTGTTTAACAATCAATGTTTAGCTCATAATTGAATTCAATTAATGTTTGCAATGAATTGCAATCAAATCAACGAAACAGTGATTCAATTAAAATGACAACAAATCGTGATTTGAAATGCATTTTGCGGTCATTTGTCGATACGATTGTCTCAGAGATGGCGTTAGAGTCGACCCAACAATACATTCAAATGTGTTGTGAATTGTATTTCCCTTTCCTTTCAATCCGTGTTTCACACCATTTGAGTCTTCATTTGTCTGTAACTGAATCCGTCTCAGCGCTGGTCATCCGTAGGCTATTCTCGGGCGGAAAGACAATTATCATCAACAATGGTATGTCTGCTCTTCTATTGGACAATGTTTTACTCTTTCATTGTCTAAATGTGTTGTATTTGTTGTCCAAAACAGACTTCTTATGCCAAACCCGATCCCAACAAACCGGGAGTCGAAGAAACTCAGGTCCAGATCCATAGGATTCGCATCACTCTTACGAGTCCTAATGTGAAGAGTCTTGAGAAAGGTTTGCCACCAAAACGATTGCCATCCAAACGATGACATGTTATTAATTGTATGATTTGTTTGTCTCTTGAAGTGTGCGCCGAACTGATCAAAGGCGCCAAAGACAAGAAACTTCAGGTGAACGGACCCGTGAGACTGCCCACCAAGACGTTGAGAATCACCACTCGTAAGACACCGTGCGGTGAGGGCTCCAAGACATGGGATCGCTTCCAGATGCGGATCCACAAGCGTGTGATCGACTTGAGAAGCTCTTCAGAGACCGTCAAACAGGTCACCTCTATTAGCATTGATCCCGGAGTCGACGTCGAAGTGACAATCGCCGACCCGTAGGGACTCTTTGTTGGCAATTAAGTTCAATAAATACCTCCATTTGAAACAAATTTGTTGTATTTATTTATATCAATGGTTTAATTGTGTGATAAAATTTGATCGAAAACTCTGATAGACTATTAAAATAGTTTGAAAATTGAGAATTAAAAACAACACAAATAAAACTTAACCTAAACTAAGAGTAATTACTGTAAGATAATAAATGTGAGTAAAAACGGGACCCAATGTTGAACACAATTGCCATAAATAGTAACAGTAATACATAACGAGTGTTGGATCTCATGTGAAGTCATGTTCGCCAACACTTTGGAACAGATAATCCTTATAAAGTGATTGTCTTTTGATGAGAATCTTTTTGTTAATCAGATCTCTCTTTTCGACCAAATATTTCTTATCCTTTCGCGGAAGTGTAGGACTGAGTCGAGCGAACCATTTGGCCAACAATACAAACATCACTGCGAGTCCTATAATGAGTACCAATGCGTGGAAGTGATACTCTTTGGGCAAAGCTGTCCAAAACGATTGGATTGGAGACAAATAGCTTGTGATAACATCTGTTGAATTAGAGCCGAGCAGTGATTTGAGAAAACTTTGCGCAGAAGTGCTCACAAGAAGATTGACGAACAAAATAAAGGGTAAAATCAATGCAAAGATTCCGAATCCAAAACCGCGAAGACTGGCCCTAAAGTTGTTGTTTCTTCGGTTGTTGTCGTCTTCGAGTTTGGCGTCAATGAGTTGAACCAATTGTTCGCAATCTTTCTCCAAAGAATTCAATGTGTTTTGAATCGTGTAATTAATGGTCTTTTCGATGTCAGTGCAAACGTCTTGGATCTGATTGACACAAGTGGACTGCTGTTTGCCAGCGATGGGCACATAGATGGTGGGCATATCGAATCCGCATTTGTTAAGTCCGGGTCTTTTGCACAACTCCTGCACGATTTGCATCAACACCTTCTGGCGGTCGCTCTCGTGTCCCGCTTCGTCCGCTTTCGACAAATAGAAACGCATTCTCTCTGAATGTCTTGCATTCAACTTCTCCACCAAATTCAGTGTCCGCTTACACAACGCCTGTCCGATCGGATCAAAGAAGACGAATATAAGGTCAGCCAAGTCTCCCAACCACGACATGGCTTTGTCCACGTCGTACGGGTAGTGGACGTCGCCGTCGACGAGACCCGGAGTGTCGATAAAAGTGGTTAAATTGAATTTATTCGCCTTCGAGGCCGAGATCTCAGTCGACAGGTATTGTATAACTCCCGGAATCTTCTCCAATGTCTTGAAGTGTGGATACAAATGAATGGTTGCCTTTCCTGTCAACGATTCCCGTCTCTTGCCGTTCGTGACGAAAGTGAATCCTTGCGTTTCGATCGCAACGCCTGTCTTCTGGACGCTATCATTGATATACCAATTGATGAAAGAGCTCTTTCCGGCCGAATGGTTCCCAATCAGCAAAACAATGATCTTTCTTCGCGGCGCCAATAAATGGAGACCAAGTCTTTGACCGATTGATATCAAGCCGTTGTTTGGGTCGGCATATAATGAGTGCAACTCTTGCAGAATCTCTTCATTTATCGACAGTTTCACTGATCTCTTGACGTCCTCTTTGTTCTCCTCATTGTCTTCAATGAGTGACTGATTCTCAAGACTTGATTTCGATTTGTTTTGTTTCGGCATCTCTTCTGTCACTCAATTCTTGTTCGTGTCTTTGATCCAACAGTTCCCACAAATATTCACAACTTTTGATTAATTATTAAAACAATTATTAATTAAAAAATAAATTCAAAATTGAGATAAAAATAGACTTTTAGTTAATTAGTGGCGAAAAGTGTAAAATGTTTTCAAAAATTCAAACTAACGATACATTTGTGTTGAATAGAAAAATGAGAGTAGAGTTGAGACAAACGTCTCAAAACCAAACCCACGAATCCATTGACACGTAATGAACACTACATTTCATTTGCAATAAAACTATAGTTTTTCTATCAAAACCAATAAAACATCACTTTTTATGATTAAAATGTATTAAATTCGTTAATTTCACTCATATTACTCATTGTATGCGCCAATGGGTTACGTGTGTCCTCTACTCCCGGGTCGTGGCTTTGGGTTGGGTTAGGGCTAAGCACTCGTCTATAATAGTATGACATATCGGGACTGAACTGTACGGGAAATACCACTCATACCTGTATAACACTGACGAATGTTGAATAATAAACTTATTCAGTTAATTGCAAACCGTTTTTATAACTGCTCCAATTAAATAGTTGTTATACTGTGTGATAGTTATGATAATTAAACACATGTTATAATTAATTATTGTTGTACATGTGCATTTATTTGTACAACAAACAAAGCAATATGATTTTATTGAAAAATAAATTTTTATTTCATTGCAATTTTTAGTTTTCACACAAAACACTAATTATTTTAAGGTTATTTTGATATATTATATAAGCTCATGAATATAACATTTCTGGGTCTATGTCTAGCGTTGCCATAAATTTTTACGAATTTCCAGGATTTTTATAGAGAATTTCGACCAAATTTTCTGAATTTTCAAAGATATTGTTTCTATTCATGCGATTATCAAGTTTTTAATGATAGCAATACAGTTACATAATATTCATTATTCAATTGCCCTGATAATAATTTAAAGTTAGAGTGTTAACACATTTACAGTATTTAATAAATTTAAATTTCATGAATACAAGATATTTTCAATTACAACACTAATCTATATGTTACAAATGTATGTGCCATAATGTACTGTACAGTACACTAAAAACAAAATATAAACTATAATAATAATTATGTCTGCGGCTAAACTGTTAAAGTGGTTATATTTTTTGCCGCATTTTTTGAATTACAAACTTTTTAACAAACAAAGCAATATGATTTTATTGAAAAATAAATTTTTATTTCATTGCAATTTTTAGTTTTCACACAAAACACTAATTATTTTAAGGTTATTTTGATATATTATATAAGCTCATGAATATAACA